AAGCGTGCTGGGCCCATAATTCAGAAGTCGATGGATGAAAACCATCCTCTGCTATGCATTGTTTGTTTACAAAGATCTCAGTGCTTTGGATGTAACCCTGATCATATGATAGAGACATGTTCTTCCTTCCTGAGGAAGTGGTACTTCTGTGCAATGGCATTGACAGCTTCTCTTCTCTTTTAGCCTTGGTAGAGTGTGTGCACTCGAAGATCCACTGGAATGCATCACCGCTCCTACTAATCTTGTCTTTGTGATTTTTGCCAAGGAAGAAATCTCTCCGCAGTCTGAGGAAACCTAAAATGCTTGAAACAGCCTGACTTTTCACAGGACCTTAAGATGGTCAACGACTCCTAAGACATCAACAGTTGGTTTTACTAGCACTTTGTGGTTTAAATCTCAAATTCTCCCTTGTAAGGACCTTACTTCATTTGATGTTTGTATAATTGTGAAACTGACTTGGGAGAAGAGCCCAGACTGTACAGTAGATGCTACCTAGAGCATATCTAAAGCCACCTGGTCTGTTTCAATGTAGGTTTTTGAAGTTGTCTGTACAAACTCTGGTTTTCTTGTTTTCTCCTGAAGAGTGCCATTTATTCTTGACGGACAACCAAATGTTGATCTGGACAGCTGTCCTTTCTGGGTCATGCCATGTACATCTGAGTAGGCTGTTTAATTTCATTCAAGCACACGTTTAAACTAACATGGCTTCATAACATTTTAAGAAGGGGCAAGGTTTACGTACGTCTTCTCCCTTCTTTTTTAAGGATTAAAGACCTGTAGTCAAGCGGAACCTCGTTTCCAGGCGTTAGGATCGAGTCTCTCCGGAATCGACACTCGGTAAAACTACATACTGACAACTACGAAAACATGCTCGAGCTAGCCAGGAGTCGAACCTAGAATCTTCTGATCCGTAGTCAGACGCGTTATCCATTGCGCCACTAGCCCCTGGAATGTCCCTGGTGTCTGGGTCACCGTGTCGGATCTTTACTAATGTGGTGCCGCAGCGCATAAGGATGTGCACGTTGCCAACTAGTAGGAGTGGGAAAAAGAGATCTAAACACATGCCCCGTGTGAGGCTTGAACTCACGACCTTCAGATTATGAGACTGACGCGCTGCCTACTGCGCCAACGAGGCTTTGAAACAGTCTCAGGTTGGGTCCATGTGCGATACAAAACCACCATACAGGGTTTTGACGATTTTTGTCATAGCTATGATTGCGCACGTCATCACATGACTGGCGAGTCCACCACTTCCTGAATACACAGTCCTAAGACTTCAACAGATGGGTATTTCTTCATTCCTCAAGTTTTACATTTTTTATTAGTCCTACTTTGTCATCCAATTTTGTGGAATGTCAGACCAATATCAGACTTTAGTCAGAAATCTACCCGCACCTCCAGGAAAACAAAAACGTTTGCAACGGCCTGATTTTTTACAGGACCTTGAGATGTTTAATTACTCTAGGACATGGAAGATTGATTTTACCAGCACTTTGTGCTTTAAATCCAAAATCCTCCCATTTAAGTATCTTACTTCATTCGATGTTGGTATAATTGTGATGCAAAAAGACATTTTGCAAGGAAATAAATGTCCATAAAGCCCAATTAGCATGGTAATATTTGTATTCTGGTAGACACATAGCAGTACCTAGTAAACCAGGTGATGGTAATGACAAACCATGAGTCTTTCTGAAACTATGAACAGCGTTGAGGCACAGTTTGCGTTTAAGAATGACATGTGTAGAGTAAAGGTGAATTCTACCATGCAGGGGAGCCATTTGAACATTTTTCAACGTAACACACCAGAGCTTCTAATATTCTAATATCATTTCTGCATTGAGCCTCATGATTATATGCTATGGTTGATACACTGAACTTTAAGAGTTGTTGATGTCAAGTGTGAGCAATTGAACTACCCATTCAGAAGATGGAGCACCTGGGTGTGTGCCACTTGTTAGTCGTTGGCCCACCTGACCGATAATTAGAGTGTTTTGGTCGCAGATATTTAGGGTGTGAATGGCTATGGAACTGACTTGGAAGTAGAGCCCAGACTGCTGTAGATGCTACGTGGGGCATATCTAAAGCCAACTGGTCCGTTTTAATGTAGGTTTTTGAAGTTGTCAGTACAAACTGTTTGCTTTTCTTGTCTTGTTCTCAAGAGTGCCAGTTTTTCTTGACATGTTGACGGGAACACTGAGTGTTCATCTGGACAGCTGGCTTTTCTTGGTAATGCTATGTACATCTGAGTAGGCTGTTAATTTGTTTTATTTTTTTATATACACGTTTAAAATAACCTGGCTGCATGACATGTAAAAAAATATGCCAGTCAGCTTTGTGTTTGAAACACGCCTGTTTTTCAACGGCGTTTGGGTGTCTGTGTACCGTGTTCTAAATGACTGCTTCCTGAAGGTGTGCTGCCCCAGTGGCCTCATGGATAAGGCACTGGCCTCCTAAGGCAGGGATTGTGGATTGGAGTCCTATCTGAGGTGAGAGCAGAGTGGTGCAGCGGAAGCGTGCTGGGCCCATAATTCAGAAGTCGATGGATGAAAACCATCCTCTGCTATGCATTGTTTGTTTACAAAGATCTCAGTGCTTTGGATGTAACCCTGATCATATGATAGAGACATGTTCTTCCTTCCTGAGGAAGTGGTACTTCTGTGCAATGGCATTGACAGCTTCTCTTCTCTTTTAGCCTTGGTAGAGTGTGTGCACTCGAAGATCCACTGGAATGCATCACCGCTCCTACTAATCTTGTCTTTGTGATTTTTGCCAAGGAAGAAATCTCTCCGCAGTCTGAGGAAACCTAAAATGCTTGAAACAGCCTGACTTTTCACAGGACCTTAAGATGGTCAACGACTCCTAAGACATCAACAGTTGGTTTTACTAGCACTTTGTGGTTTAAATCTCAAATTCTCCCTTGTAAGGACCTTACTTCATTTGATGTTTGTATAATTGTGAAACTGACTTGGGAGAAGAGCCCAGACTGTACAGTAGATGCTACCTAGAGCATATCTAAAGCCACCTGGTCTGTTTCAATGTAGGTTTTTGAAGTTGTCTGTACAAACTCTGGTTTTCTTGTTTTCTCCTGAAGAGTGCCATTTATTCTTGACGGACAACCAAATGTTGATCTGGACAGCTGTCCTTTCTGGGTCATGCCATGTACATCTGAGTAGGCTGTTTAATTTCATTCAAGCACACGTTTAAACTAACATGGCTTCATAACATTTTAAGAAGGGGCAAGGTTTACGTACGTCTTCTCCCTTCTTTTTTAAGGATTAAAGACCTGTAGTCAAGCGGAACCTCGTTTCCAGGCGTTAGGATCGAGTCTCTCCGGAATCGACACTCGGTAAAACTACGTACTGACAACTACGAAAACATGCTCGAGCTAGCCAGGAGTCGAACCTAGAATCTTCTGATCCGTAGTCAGACGCGTTATCCATTGCGCCACTAGCCCCTGGAATGTCCCTGGTGTCTGGGTCACCGTGTCGGATCTTTACTAATGTGGTGCCGCAGCGCATAAGGATGTGCACGTTGCCAACTAGTAGGAGTGGGAAAAAGAGATCTAAACACATGCCCCGTGTGAGGCTTGAACTCACGACCTTCAGATTATGAGACTGACGCGCTGCCTACTGCGCCAACGAGGCTTTGAAACAGTCTCAGGTTGGGTCCATGTGCGATACAAAACCACCATACAGGGTTTTGACGATTTTTGTCATAGCTATGATTGCGCACGTCATCACATGACTGGCGAGTCCACCACTTCCTGAATACACAGTCCTAAGACTTCAACAGATGGGTATTTCTTCATTCCTCAAGTTTTACATTTTTTATTAGTCCTACTTTGTCATCCAATTTTGTGGAATGTCAGACCAATATCAGACTTTAGTCAGAAATCTACCCGCACCTCCAGGAAAACAAAAACGTTTGTAACGGCCTGATTTTTTACAGGACCTTGAGATGTTTAATTACTCTAGGACATGGAAGATTGATTTTACCAGCACTTTGTGCTTTAAATCCCAAATCCTCCCATTTAAGTATCTTACTTCATTAGATGTTGGTATAATTGTGATGCGAAAAGACATTTTGCAAGGAAATAAATGTCCATAAAGCCCAATTAGCATGGTAATATTTGTATTCTGGTAGACACATAGCAGTACCTAGTAAACCAGGTGATGGTAATGACAAACCATGAGTCTTTCTGAAACTATGAACAGCGTTGAGGCACAGTTTGCGTTTAAGAATGACATGTGTAGAGTAAAGGTGAATTCTACCATGCAGGGGAGCCATTTGAACATTTTTCAACGTAACACACCAGAGCTTCTAATATTCTAATATCATTTCTGCATTGAGCCTCATGATTATATGCTATGGTTGATACACTGAACTTTAAGAGTTGTTGATGTCAAGTGTGAGCAATTGAACTACCCATTCAGAAGATGGAGCACCTGGGTGTGTGCCACTTGTTAGTCGTTGGCCCACCTGACCGATAATTAGAGTGTTTTGGTCGCAGATATTTAGGGTGTGAATGGCTATGGAACTGACTTGGAAGTAGAGCCCAGACTGCTGTAGATGCTACGTGGGGCATATCTAAAGCCAACTGGTCCGTTTTAATGTAGGTTTTTGAAGTTGTCAGTACAAACTGTTTGCTTTTCTTGTCTTGTTCTCAAGAGTGCCAGTTTTTCTTGACATGTTGACGGGAACACTGAGTGTTCATCTGGACAGCTGGCTTTTCTTGGTAATGCTATGTACATCTGAGTAGGCTGTTAATTTGTTTTATTTTTTTATATACACGTTTAAAATAACCTGGCTGCATGACATGTAAAAAAATATGCCAGTCAGATTTGTGTTTGAAACATGCCTGTTTTTCAACGGCGTTTGTGTGTCTGTGTACCGTGTTCTAAATGACTGCTTCCTGAAGGTGAGCTGCCCCAGTGGTCTAATGGACAAGACACTGGCCTCCTAAGGTAGGGATTGTGGTTCGGCATCCTATCTGTGGTGAGAGCCGAGTGGCGCAGCGGAAGCGTGCTGGGCCCAGAATTCAGAAGATGATGGATGGATGGAAACCATCCTCTGCTATGCATTTTTTGTTTACATAGATGTCAGTGCTTTGGATGTAACCCTGCTCATAATAATTTGCGGCTTTCACTGGTAATACAATCCTTCTAAGAAAACTAAAAATCTATAAATCCTTCTAAGCTGGGTCACTGGTATGAAACACTCCAAACTTTCAAATACTAATAATGTTTGGCTTTCACTGGTATGAAATAGTTGTAATACAATCCTTCTAAGAAATCAAAAAATCTATGAGCCACATTTAGGTAAAAAGAGGATAAGAAGACCGCATTAGGTAAGAGGAGGGAAAAAATCACATTTCACACTTTATCCTTAGCAGGATATAGTTTGAGATTTAAAAAAAAAAACTCAGCACAAATAAGCAGCACATATACGAGTCAACATATAGCAGAGATACGGTGAAGGTTGTATGTCAGGGGGGCGTATGTTTATATGAGCATGTGCGTGTTTGCATATGAGTGTGTGCAAATTAAGTCCATGAAGCACTGTCACAGAAGCCATTTTCCTTGATGGTACCATGGAATGTTCATCAACTGGCCAAACAGTTATGAGCAGGTCCACAGATGTCCTCAGGGAAAGGAGGGGGCAGAGGGAGCAGAGCGTCATATTTACATAACTTCCAGGAGAAGTTGAAGATAGCCAGCCATCAAGGGCGTGCAGGGGAGCCAGATTCAGAAAACAACAATTATTTGGGTCATGCTGACTCTTAATTTTCCGTCAGCCTCGAGAGTCTCGCTGGTGCAAGACTTTCGAGGCGAATGGCGAATCCAAACAGCCAAATTCCTGGTCTTTCGCCAAATCTGAGCATACAACTTCTCCAAGATTTATCCCATTTCACCTCTGAGTCCAGGAAACGCAGCCAGCCTGTGATCTTGTAGGATCACATCCAGTTTGCGAATCTGCTCCCTTAACATTTCAGTCTGAGTGTTGATAGCTCTGCAGATCCCTTCACATAAGCCGGGCAGCCTTGCAATGGCCAGAACTGCTGCCGACGTTTTCCCAATTTCACGATATACCAGGTAAGCAAACTCCGAAAAGCAGAAATCCTGTTATCAGAAATCCAATTATGTACACATCGTCCACATCCTTGACTGACATCATTGTCAGACACACAATCCTCCACTTCTGTCAGTAGTCCATTGTGTATCCGGAGAAGAATGTCCCATCTGGACAACAGGGCTATCCCTTACCTTGTCTTACCGTTGAGAAAATTTGATCAATTGCTTTCACAGACCAGCTGACCAGATTCCTAATTCACAATTCCAGAGATATGCAAAGAGAGGCTCCGAAAGAAGACAAGACACGGAGCAGAAGCAGGGCAAACGGGGGGGGGTGGGGTGTTGTGGGTCCGGGCCGGGGTGGGTGGTGTTGGCGGGGGTTGACAGGAGACATCCACCTTCACCAGATTCCGGGGGATGTTGGAGACATAGAGTCCGAGTTGACCATGTTCTCCGCATCTATTGTCGATGCTGCTGCCCGTAGCTGTGCCTTAAGGTCTGTGGTACCTGTCGCGGCAGCAATCCCCGAACCCGGTGGTGGACACCGGCAGTAAGGGATGCTGTCAAGCTGAAGAAGGACTCCTATCAGCTGTGGTTGGCTTGTGGGACTCCTGAGGCGGCTGACAAGTACCGTGAGGCCAAACGTGCCGCAGCCCGGGCTGTGGCGGAGGCAAAAACCCGGGCATGGGAGGAGTTCGGTGAGGCTATGGAGAAAGACTACCGGTTGGCCTCGGAGTGATTCTGGCAAACCATCCGGCGCCTCAGGAGGGGGAAGCAGTGCTTCTCCAACACTATTTATAGTGTTGGTGGGGAGCTGCTGACCTCGACTGAGGACGGGCGGTGGAAGGAGTACTTCGAGCATCTCCTCAATCCTGCTGTCACGCATTCCCTGGTGGAAGCAGAGGCTGGGGACTCAGGGTTGGACTCATTCATCATCCAGGTTGAAGTCACCGAGGTGGTTAAAAAGCATCTGGCCGATAGTCGAACCTCGGCTTCAGGAGATGCAGTGTGGTTTTCGTCCCAGCCGTGGAACACTGGACCAGCTCTACACCCTCTGCAGGGTACTTGAGGGTTCATGGGAGTTTGACCAACTGGTCCACATGTGTTTTGTGGACCTGGAGAAGCCATTTGACTGTGTCCCTCGTGGTGTCCTTTGGGGGTTGCTCCATGAGTATGGAGTCGGGGGTCCTTTATTAGGGGCCATCCGGACGTGTTCCCAGTGCACGTTGGACTCCAGCAGGGCTGCCCTTTGTCACCGGTCCTGTGCAGCCAAGGGCCTGAGGGGGCTGGTTTGGGGACCAATGGACTTTGGGTCATGACTGAGAGAACGAGATCCCGGATACAAGCGGCTGAAATGAGCTTCCTACGTAGGGTCGCCAGGCACTCCCTTAGAGATAGGGTGAGGAGCTCGGCCATCCGGGAGGGGCTTGGAGTAGAGCCGCTGCTCCTCCACCAGTTGAGGTGGCTCGGGCATCTATACCGGATGCCTTCTTCGGGAGGTGTTCCAGGCACACCCCACTGGGAGGAGGCCCAGGGGATGGCCCAGGACACGGTGGAGGGACTATGTCTCTCGGCTGGCTTGGGAACGCCTTGGGATTCCGCCGGACGAGCTGGAGGAGGTCTCTGGGGAGAGGGAGGTCTAGGTGTATCTACTGAGTCTGCTGCCCCTTGACCCGGTCCTGGATGAAGCGGAAGATGACGAGTACGAGTACGAGTATTTGTATGAGTACGAGTCTTTTTCTTTCCTTTAGTTCGAATAACCATAGGTGAGGGGTGATTTGCAGATCGCTGTTAAATCTGCTTTCAGCTCAGCTCCTTCTTCAACATGGCAGATAGGAGTGACCCCTTTATGGACTTTATCTGCATTACTACAGAAAAAAAGTACTATTCTGTCTCTCTATCTTATTCTCCATTCTGTCTTGAATATCTATATATGAGGTGGAGTCTCACCAACAACTGAGAGGAAGTATGAAAGTTTTTCAAATCTAAATCTCCCTAGTGTTTGTTTTATTTTGTCTGTCACATTTTAATGCATTAATACATTTTGGGCTGCACGGTGGCGCAGTTGGTAACACTGTTGCCTTGCAGTAAGAAGGTCCTGGGTTCAATTCCCGACCGGGGGTCTTTCTGTATGGAGTTTGCATGTTCTCCCCGTGCATGCGTGGGTTCTCACCGGGGACTCCGGCTTCTTCCCACAGTCCAAAGACATGCCTGTTAGGTTAATTGGTCACTCTAAATTGTCCTTAGGTGTATGAATGAGTGTGTGCATGGTTGTTTGTGTGTTGCCCTGTGATGGACTGGCGACCTGTCCAGGGTGTACCCCGCCTCTCGCCCATAGACTGCTGGAGATAGGCACCAGCTCCCCCGCGACCCACTATGGAATAAGGGGTAGAAAATGACTGACTGACGTTTTAATGCTCATTGCAAACAGAATTGGGCTTTAACGTTATAGTGGATTATCTGCAAAAAGCTGAAAAAACTACATACCCTTGATTCAGGTAAAACATGAACGAAAGCAGGTTTGTACATGAAAAATTAAAAACATGCTTACGTGGTAACAGAAAAAAAAATTAATTGGGAGCTTTCGCCATTTAATGTTGATTTGTATTCTGGATAATATGCAATACATGTCCAGGTAACTTCATTGTTTTTTTCTGCTGCATATTGTGGTTTATTATTTTATTATCACACGGTGCCTCAGCATGCTGTTTAAAATTTATAACCTGATCAATAAACCATAACAGCTCTATACGGATCAAAGCGGCCCTGTGTCCGCAGCTTAGATGTCGAAGGAGGATGGCACAAAGTTGTGTAGATGTGGTTTTATATTTAAATAATTTATGTTTGGGAACAAAACTTACTCAAGGTAATAACAGTAAAACTACAAACTTGCTGAATCCAAACACACAAAGACACAAGTTAATGCATATACGTTTGTACAGCTGAATGATTTATAACCACATTCATCACAAAAGTGTGAACACATTAATAAATTACAATGGGCCTTCGCAGCACTTAGCTGCTCGGGCCTAATAAATGTTGTCACACACGTATTACAGCTTCTACACACTGATAATATACACACACTCATTCCAATCTCTATGTCAGTTTAGTTTGCTGCGCAGCCTTTCTTCCTGCATTATAGATGACTGACAGCACTGGTTTCATATCTGAACCTCAGAGCTTGCAATCCTGCTGATTCTTATATTTCCACCTCCATCACGCCGCAGGCTGACATGCAGCTTTATTCGGGCAGGGTTTGTTGTTCTCCTGATCACCCTGAGTCAAAAAAGAAACATGTATAACTCCAGCATTACATCTGAACAGGGCTTCTGCATTATTAAGAGGGAGCTTCTGAAGTTGTTATTTCTTTGAGGAAAAAAAGATGCTTTAGGGATTATATGTTATGGGTTTGAATAGATGTGTGGTTGGATTGGCTATAAATCAATTCAGGATAATTTTTTTGCAGTTGGCATCTCACACAAAAATATTTTTAAAAATCCAGTCTTTAATGATTACATTTTATTTGATGGGGAAAAACAAGTTTAAAAAAATAATTTTACAAAATCCCTTGTATGTATTGACTGACCTATAAATGTACTCGTACTCGTCGTCTTCCGCTTTATCTGGGACCGGGTCGCGGGGGCAGCAGACTCAGGAGACACCCAGACATCCCTCTCCCTAGACACCTCCTCCAGCTCCTCCAGGGGGAGCCCAAGGCGTTCCCAGGCTAGCCGAGAGACATAGTCCCTCCAGCACGTCCTGGGCCGTCCCCTGGGCCTCCACCCGGTGGGACGTGCCTGGAACACCTCCCGAGGAAGGCGTCCAGGAGGCATCCGGTATAGATGCCCGAGCCACCTCAACTGGCTCCTCTCGATGTGGAGGAGCAGCGGTTCTACTCCGAGCCCCTCCCGGATGGCAGAGCTCCTCACCCTATCTCTAAGGGAGTGCCCGGCCACCCTACGGAGGAAGCTCATTTCAGCCGCTTGTATCCGGGATCTCGTT